TGCAGGAGGCAGCTGATCGATGTTTCTCTCTCATCGATGTTTCTAACTCTCTATCTCTCTCCCTTCCTCTCTGTGAAAAATCAATAAAATATATATTTTAAAAAAAAATGTTTTATGAACACTCCTTTAAACTTCACAGATTATTTAATAATGACCCAAACGTTTTTGAGGCCAGTTGCTAGGTTGACGTCCCACAGTTTTAAGACAGTTAAACATGTAGCACTTTATTGTTTTTCATGAAAGCATAACCAAGAAGCAAGAGGCAAACACACCTTTTGTTTCCCAGCAACTATGATAGCTCCGTTGTAGGACAGATCATCAGGGCTATTTCTATTTACAAAGTCATCGATTTCCAACAGTATATTTTGATGCTTCAGTGACTGTATAAAATCTTCAATGTTGGATTCTAGTATTACATCAACAACAGAAGGCCATATAAAGCAGAACATATATGTCAATTAAAAAAAATAAGCCACATACACAATTTATATTATGCATAAAGGCATGTCTCTTCGGGCATCACAATAATAATACTGGCCTATAAAAGAGAGCCCATTCTACCATCTTACATTCATCAAATCTACTCAGTGATGAGTTAGCTTTATGATCTTATTTCATGCAAGTTAACGTGTGACCATTAAGACAATGTAATTCTATTTTATGACTCTTGGTTAAAAAAATACAATTTAACTCAACAATCTGTGGAACTGCAATAATTGTATGAGAAGTACTTCAAATTGGCTAGCCTGAAATTCCTAACAATAGCACTCCCCTTGCTCCCTTATTCTCCAAATAACAGAAAAGTAAATGCATTTAGCTGAATGTATGAATGTATTTTAAAACATGAATGTATTTTGCGTATTTTCATATGTATTACATGCATATATATATTACAGATACATTTTTTGTTAGGAAATGGGAAATGAAAAGAGTGCCACTATCAGGACACAGTTGTCAATAGGCTACTAACGAAGAAAACAGATAAGAGCTGAGAAAAACCCACAGCCTAGCGCACACAGGAACCAACAACTGTAAAGGCTGCTGTAACAGAGGTCTCAAAACTGAGTGGTTCAATCAATACTGAAGTTTCTCCTTCACATAATAGCTCAGGGTCATAAGGCAGATACGCCGGTCTTCTCTACCAGGTTATGTAGTGACCCAGGATGCTTCTTCCTTGTCCCCCCTCTCTCCAGCACCTCTAAACTCAGAACAAATGTACACAGTTCCTAAAATTTTCTTTTCTTTATTTTAATGTTTTTATTGATTTCAGAGAGGATGGGAGAGGAGGGGTAGAGAGAGAGAGAGAGAGAGAGAGAGAGAGAGAGAAACATCAATGATAAGAGAGAATCATTGATCGGCTGTCTCCTGCATACTCCCTACTGGGGATTGAGCCCGAAACCGAGGCATGTACCCTGATTGGGAATCGAATCGGCTACTTCCTGGATCATGGGCTGACACTCAACCACTGAGGCACTCAGCTGGGCTAGAAATTGTTTTCTATTCATAAAGTCTAGTGCTCCCTTCGATAGCTCAGCTGGTAGAGCGGAGGACCATAAAGTCTAAATATACAAATTCTTCTCTTACGATTTGCTTTTTCTCCCTTTACATAAAAATAAATTATTTCTAGATTTTAATTGTGTTTTTCTGTTCACCTGTGTTATTGATGATCAATAAGCTGGTCAGAGGGTATTGAGGAAGTTGCCCAGGAGAGAGGAAATACAATCCAGGTTTAAATTCCCCATCACTCTTTTGATTTAATGCAGCATAAGATATCATTTCCACAATCAATGGGATCAGTGCAATTCCAAATACCAACAGCCTGCCAATAAAGAAAAGTCACCATATGAATCTGTAGCAATTTCATTTATTCCATCAGACATTTCACAAATATTTGTAGAATATCAACTTTTATGCTAGCCATAAGGATGAGTGCTAAAATTCTGTAAGCCATACCTTACATTGCCCCTCAGTACAAAAGGCTTTTCTATATAAACACCGGGTGTTCAAACTATGAAGACTAAACAGATCTGTGTATAAGGCTAATCAAATGCTCACATACAGCTATTCCCACTGGCAGTAAACTCAAAGGCTACATTTATCTATCCTCTGGCAGGAATGTTGGGCATTTCATTCTAGCTTTAAATTTTATTCTGACTTAACCCTTTCTTAAAATTCACTATCCAAGAAAACCACAGCACTCTGATACTCACAGGGTCAAAAGCGTTTTCTTTCCACATTTTAACTTTAAGAAACGGAGCCGTGCCACTGCACAGATCTGCATTCTCCAGAGTTCCAAGTCACTCACAGGGAAAGGAGGGTGAGCAGGCTGCACCTGAGGCAGGCTTTCTGCGTCTCTCATCTCTGCTTGTTCAAAATAAATACACAGGCATGCATGCTCGTCCACACACACACACGCACGCATGCACACACACGTACTAATTATTAATGACATGCTTGGGTCATCACAGTTTTCTCTTTTTAGAGAAAATGTTCTAGGATATTTGTGGTTATAAAACAAACAATATAAGTACCAGGTTATGTTTATCATGTCGACATTTAATAAATCCACTGATAAAATACTCTGAATGCATATCAAAAGAAGACTTCAGTCAAGGGTGATCTCATCATACGGTCTTTAAAAAGGCACAGAAAATCCTATATGAAACACTATTTTAAGACATTTCAAGAAATCTTCTCCAGAGAAGTAGCCAAGGTACACTGATGCCTAAATGTCTACTATTATGCTATCAATCATTTATAAGTCCAGGTGAAAAACCACTAACCCTGAAACCACAAGACTGGCACCTGATTTCCAAATATATGAATTTCAAGTGGTATAATTTGGGGCAAATCACTGACCTGCTCTTAGGTCTGATTTTCTCAGGTGTAAAATTGTGCCAACACCACTTGTTTGAATGGTTCTTGTAAGGAAAGCAATGCCATTCAGCCACACATTGATCAAAGTGTCTGGCATAAACCCTCCATAAATGACAGCCCTTACTATGATCACCCATTAAAGGACACAAGAGCTGATCCTAGGGCCAGGGGTGGGCAACCTTTTTGACTCGAGGGCCACAATGGGTTCTTAAACTGGACCGGAGGGCCGGAACAAAAAGCATGGATGGAGTGTTTGTGTGAACTAATATAAATTCAAAGTAAACATCATTACATAAAAGGGTACGGTCTTTTTTTTTTTTTTAGTTTTATTCATTTCAAACGGGCCGGATCCGGCCCGCGGGCCGTAGTTTGCCCACGGCTCTCCTAGGCCTTTCTTCCATTGAGACCTTAGTGGAATTTTGTCTTTGAACAACTAAGAGCAATTTTTATAGGCTATATCTGCTTAGCGTTCATGACCTCGACTGAGGGCCTTTCACATCCTCAAAGTATCCAAGAAGTGAGTAACAGAGGATAGAAGAAAACTGCCTAAAAAAGAGACAAATACTAGTAGTTTCTAAAGAAAAATTTGGTGTATTCCAAGAGGAGTCTGTGTTCAGTCCTAGTAAGATGTTAGGATACAAGGCCTGCTCTTCCCAAGCAGCAGAGTCAGATTTGGAACTAGTCCCTTTCTTTAGTGTTAATCAGGTATAAGCATTATAAATACTAAATTGCTATATAATCATTGGGAAATTGATTTTATATGAATTATACAGATGAATGTACCTTGATCGACAGTTGATATTTCTTCCACTTTCTTGAAGACTTCATTCAGGGTTGACACAGCAATGTTATAACTCACCACACCCTGGACAGAACCCTTATCAAGATCACTGAAAAGGTCTAAGGCAATAGACAGGAGTAGATACATTTGAAATGGCATGTGGATAACTAAACCTAGTGAATTAACATATTTAAAAGATGATGCAGAATACTGCTCATAAAGTTTACATCTTTGCAATATCCCAATAAGGAAAACCAAAATTTCACTGGAATGCTCTTCTCCTCTGAAATGAATATGTCAGACTTCTCCTTTTATACTCACACTGTCTGCACTCTATCTTCTGTTCTCAGCCCATGAACTTCCTGCAGATATTTTTTAGGAAATATCTCCTCTACACCACGAATCAATGTGTAGTTCTACCCATATTCTGGGTCTTTCTTCTGTACAGGTAGAAGACTTGTAGCTGCTCCCACCAAACGCTACCTTTCGACTTGTGCTTTTGGACATCTCAAGGACTTCCCAAAATAAATCTGCTTTCTCTCTCTCTCTCTTTCTCTCTCTCTCTCTCCCTCCTTCTCTCCTTCCCTTTCTCCCTCCCTTCATCCCTCCTCCTTTCTTTCTCCTCTCTTCCCTACTGGTTCTTCTAAGCATCCATTACCAAATAAATTGCACTAAAATCCTCATCTCAAGTGATGCTTCTTAGGAAACCCAACCTAAAATGAAATCCAAGTCCATTAAACAATAAAGTTGTAATAATAATGTAAGTACTTATTCCCAAATTTCATTCTATTGAAATCATATTTAAGTTACCTGGAAATTTATCTGTCCTTTCCACAGGCAAAGTATACACAAGCTTTTCTTTGCTTTCTGTCTTTAATTTAGCATCCGGGACATGATGGTTAATGAAAGATGTTACTCTTTCTGGGTCACATATTTCATTTCTGTACAAACTAATGTTTGAAAGAAAAGACAATTTATTTGTTTCCTCCAGTGCTATCACAAAAGAAGAGCTTTCTACTGAATAGCTAACCTTTGAGTACTTTACTTGGCTTTTAGGGAACAAACAAAATGAGTAAATAATAATAATAATAATGCCATTGATTAGAAAAATCTTCTGATCTGTAGAGAGGTGTCTAATCTCAGTGCTAAATTTTACAAACAAATGCATGATGGATTTGAAAGCTGATGTATATCAAGTAGGAAGACAAACAGAGGGAGGTGAGGGCATTAGACAGAAGAGACTTCTTAGGAAAAATCATTACTAGACCAAACCGTGTAGCTACCAGAAATTAGTGCCTAACAGAAAAACCTGGCCAACAAGCCACAGTTTGTGTTTTCAATGCTTTCTGCCTGGAAACACTTTCTCGGTAGACATAGTCCTCTTTACTCACTGCCACCAGACTGACTCTCAGTTTTGATACTAGCTTCTGATATTATTTGATTTTGTGTCCTATGAAAGAAGGAAACGATGTCACAGGATTGTATGGATCAGCTGGGGAAACTGGAAGGTGGAAAGTGGTCCATGAAGCAGCCCTGCTATGATCTATTAGCCTGGGCTGATAATTTTGCAATTTTGATTATCATAATGGATGCAGGGAAAATATTTGGGAAACAATGATCAATACAGGTTGGCAGAGCTAAACTAAGCACAAGGCCAAATCTCTCTCATAATTGTCTACCTTTCTGATATACCAATATTAAAATATCTGTGTGTGTGTGTACACGTAATTTATCTGCAAATTCTTTACCTTAAGTGATATCCAAGACCCCATTTTCTCTTCAGAAAGCCAGAAGAGCCTGCACACTTCAATCTCCCATTGGACATGATCACTTTTCTATCTGAGTAAAAAGAAGCAAGAGAAAAAGGATGATAGGGGTCATTTCTTCTCTCCCTAGAAAACACAGATGAGGAGCCAATGCTCAGATTTCCAAAAGAGAAGCGTTCTATGGGGCATCGCCATATCAACTATCCATTTAAAATGTTGAAATACCCCTTAAAATGGATGCATTTTAAATGAGCTTATGAGTTCCAGTTCATTTTAGTATTCTCCAAAATGTAAAAAAGAAAAAACAGAAATTACATGGGTGCGTTTTCTTTTCTTTTTAATTCTCCCTGGAGGATATTTTTCCCTTGATTTTTAGGGAGAGTGGAAGAGAGAGGGAAAGACAGAGAGAAATATCGATGTGAGAGAAACACATTGATTGGATGCTTCTTGCAGGAGCTTCCATCAGGGCCCGGACAGGGAGGAGTCTGTAACTAAGGTACATGCCCTTGACCAGAATCGAAATGGGACCGTTTGGTCTGCAAGCCGATACTCTATCCACTGAGCCAAACAGGCTAGGGCTACATGGGTAATTTTCTAAGGGATGCTAAAGAAATCAGTGGATATTTTCAGCCAAATATATATATTACAGAATATTTAGATGTTCAAATTCATTGAAAGCTGATCTGGGAAAAAAAATCACAATTTTTTTTATTAGAGGTCAAAATCTAGCAGTCATATAGTCAGCGAGGAATTCTACATTGGGAGTAGGCTCCTGTCATCCCCCAGATTGGTAAGTAACATAGGCACACCAAGGCAATGAGAGCAGGGCTCTGGGAATAAATATTGCCCAAACTGTTCGTTGTGATACTGAGATCAAATCGACACTCACCAGCCAGGATGTCAGCCTCATCCATGAAACTGGTGCTCAAGAGGATCACGTGGCCTGCTTTGCGCTCCTTGAGGAAGCTCCACACCTGCTGCCTTGAAAAGGGATCCAATCCAGCAGTTGGTTCATCCAATAGCAAAACCTACCGAGGATGATGACATATAACATATGTCTCTCTCTCTCATGTTACCAATTTCCTGATGACAGCATGAGTAACCAAAACAGACAAACAAAAACCTATCCAACCGTTTATGTCCAATATACTCATATTCACAGTTAAACACAGCAGATTCTCTCTTGGTACAGTACAATGAAAGCACTGCTACTTTCAGAGGTAAAAGAGCAGCTTGGCTTTCCATTGATATTCCATCTGCATTCCTCCCCATGCATAGTGGCTCTTACTTTTGGATCTCCTAAAATGGCAATTCCAAAGGTCAGCTTTCTTTTCTGTGCTTCCCTTAAATGTTGAGCAGGGGTATCCTGAATGTTTTGTATGTCCAACTCCAATAGAATTCTTTGTACCTATAGAAAAAAATATATGAAACTTAAAATGCAAGATGACTCATACTGTGCATTTTAACCGTTCATTATAGCAGTAGGTTTTTTTTGTTTTTTTTTTTTATAGAACCTCAATGCCTAAATGCTATTCCCAACAGGACAGGTAAATCACTGAGGGGAATTCTATGGTCATGATTTAACTTTATAAATAGTAGGCAGTTTAATTAGTCCAAGCATGCCCATCTACCTCTTGATCCACTTCCTGTGGCTGAATCCCTTTAATTTTAGCAAACAGCCTGAGGTTTTCCTTCACAGTAAGTATGTCAAAGTGAACATTGGATTGAGGACAAACACCAGTTATCTTTCTGATTTCCTCCAAGTCTTGCATTTCAGAAAGATTTTTATTGTAGATGGTAACTGATCCTAAAAATAGAAGTGAGAAATAATTTAACATTGGCAAGATAATACATTTTATTGCTGCTTTGGAGATCTTATTCATGAAAATCTTTGCATATATACACAAACATCTAAAACAACGACTTCAGCCGAAACCAGTTTGGCTCAGTGGATAGAGCATCAGTCTGCGGACTGAAAAGTCCCAGGTTCGATTCTAGTCAAGGGCATGTACCTGGGTTACGGGCACATCCCCAGTGGGAGATGTGCAGGAGGCAGCTGATCGATGTTTCTCTCTCATCGATGTTTCTAACTCTCTATATCTCTCCCTTCCTCTCTGTAAAAAAATAATAAAAAAATAAAATGACTTCAAAATTTATTAACAACGACTAATTATTCCTAACCTAAATGTGTGTTCAGAGTAGTGTCTATTTCCCCTGGGATATAATGTATCAATGGAATAAAAATAATACTTTTTATAAAAATTGGGGAAATATATTTAAAATCATGAATTTCTGGTTAATAACTTTAGATAAACAAACATTATTTTCTCTTAAGGAGTCAAACATAAACCCTGAAATGAGAAAGGCTACCTATGACCCCACTCTATTATCAGACATCTTGCCTTTGAGGAACTTCTTTGTGCTCACCTTCTGTTGCAACAGAAAGCCCATTAAGGATGTTTAGCAATGAAGATTTGCCAGCTCCACTGTTACCCAGAATTGCTGTGATTTGACCTTCATATATGTCAAAGAGCAAACCTGTTTTTGAAATAAAATATTAACAGCTAAGAGAGCATTAGACAAGGCTGGTTCTAAAGACAGAATAAGAGACATATGCATTTACATCTTCATATGTACACATGCATGTACAGTGGAAGTAAGTATAGTGTTAATAGTTGGAATTAGAGTTAATTTTCTCTTCAAACAAGAGGAAATCCTTGCAGAAGTTGAAGATGTTTAGACTTAAAAAGTTCACGGTTGTTGATGAGTGCAAAAGTATTACATAATGTGCTCTGGGAACTGAAATAATAAATTTAAAAATACCTCAGTATATCCTTGGCCAAAATTAAGAGAAATCACAAATCTATGGTGTTTGATGAGAAAAACCTGGAGTAAGAATACACTTGCTGATACAAGTACATTAAATTCTCAAATAAAGCTCTAATCTCAAAGAAATAAGTATGACTGAGTTAAGGGGTGCTGCATTTGCTAGAAAATAAACACAAAGGACAGAGAACTCTCCATTTTTGGTAAGATCTATGGTTTACTTAAATATTTGTTACAGAAAACTATATTTGTTAGGATATTTAGTATAAGATACGTTGGCTCATTCAAAACTATAAACTATGTCATAGGATATTGGCTTGTGAAATTTCATTCAGGGTCAATGGTTTTACTCATCTTGATTTAATCTCACTAGCACATGCAAACTGTGTGATTTTCTGGCTAGTATAAAAAATTGATCAATTTTAAGTCTAAATAGTCCTTCCTCATAGTGCAAATAAAAGAAAATATTCCTATTGCAAATTCATCTTAAAAAACAAAGTGAACTTGTATTTTTCATTATATGATCCCATTTTTGTAGATCAATAGATCCATGAACCATCCAGAAGGATTTTACATCCAGTTCTTAATTATAGCTAATTTCCACATGGTGGAGTTACATTGTATTTTTTTTCTTTCTCTTTCTGTTTTATCAGCCTTTTCTAATTTTTCACATTGACTTTACCCAATTAAGTACTTTTCTTTACCTTTCAATGCTTCTACTTTTCCAGACTTTTCTTTATATTCTTTTTTAATATTTCTGATTCTGAAATGACAAAAGAGGTGCTTATTTAGATAACACAAAAATAAAAATGATACATACCATGAGCAACCCTAGATGGATGCAGTCAACCACATGGTGTGGAAAAAAGGATGGTTTTCCCAGTCTACTTGGGAAGACAAAGACTTGTTTTTGATCATTTCCCCATGAAATAGAACAAGTTTCTTTAGAAAGCTGTGATTAAATTATTAGTGTTTTGCTTAGAAAAGTAGAACACTCTGTAATCATCCTCACTTTCTTTCTTTAGTCTTAGAACATTGGGTGTTTCCTCCCCCCACCCTCACCACCCCATCGATTAGATTAGTGCATGTATCTCCATTCTGTAACCATCCTTTCCCAAACCCTGTCACCTGAATTTTCCTGAGAGCTCCTATTTGGCCATGAAATCTGCTTTAGATGAGATTGAATTTCTCTCTCCCCTAATCATAAAACAATTCTCAAAATAAAAGTGCAAACTTGACATGTCCATTTCCTCACTTCTCACTTCCTCCTCAATCAATTGTACTCTGGATTCTGAACTCACTACTCTAGTGAACCACTTCACATGGAAATTATCAGTGGCCTCCTAATCACCAAATGCAACATGTACTTTTCCATCCTTACTTACTGGGTTATGGGTCACCATTCATGACTTCCTCTTTGTTAAAAGAGCCTACTTTCAAGGTCACATTCCATTTTATTGGTTTTCTCTATGTATATTATTATTCATCTCACTGTAGACTCTGTTGATGTGTTATCTCATTGGTTTTCATGGTTTGAACACCAACCGAATATTGACTCAGTCCTTGGCCCTGAGATTTAGGCTCACATAGTCAAAGGTTTGCTGGGTTTCTTCATACAAATATCACACGAACACACATACACACACACACACACACACACACACACCCCTCTCTAAATCAGTGGTTGTCAAACTAACTGCACCATGGAATTCCAAAGGGAACAGCCTTGCACCCATACATTAGTATACCAGTAAGTTAACTACCTGATGGCCTCCTTTCCTTGAAATTCTGGAGCCATTGGTTCAAAATCATCATCAGAGGTATGCTCCAGATCTGTTTCCTTCTCAATGATATTATCAGTCCTTTGGTGTTGGAAACAAGATGACGAGTTCAGAAAAAATAATGGAGAATAACGGCGCTCATTTCCATCTAATTAATTAAGAAGCAATAAAAATATCGGATCAGTAACATTAAAATTGAGAGAAGAATCCTTGTTCAGAATAGTGCAAAATATCATAGACTTTTAAGCATCATAGAGAAATTCTGTTCTAGCTTCCTGTTACTGAGCATATTATCAAGAAAACTTGATAATTAAGAAATGGGAATTCAAAGGAAGTAACATTATCACAAAAGTTAAAAGATAGAACATTCAACAAAGCATAAGTCATATTTGAATAAAATATGGTCTAAAACGTATTCAGAACAATGAATAAAACCAAATATTTGGAGGGAAAGCCTTAATATGGCATAAAATTAATTGCAAACATGTTTGTGAACTTAATGAAGCATTTGATCACAGCAATATGATTGAATATAATACTGAAATCTGCATGGTACATAAATTAAAGTACATAGAAGAATTATATTTGTTCGGGATGAATATATGGTCATTTTCTAGATTAAAAGAAAAAAACCCAAACAAAGTAGTATTTGTTACTAAGGGCCTTCAAGATATAAACCAGAAGTGATAAAAAAATAGGTATACATTGAAACAATCTTAACTACAAAGAGGAAGGAGTATAAAAAATAAGAAGATATTGCCCTAACAGGTTTGGCTCAGTGGATAGAGCGTCAGCCTGCGGACTCAAGGGTCCCAGGTTTGATTCTGGTCAAAGGCATGTACCTTGGTTGTGGGCATATCCCCAATGGAGGGTGTACAGGAGGCAGCTGATGGATGTTTCTCTCTCATCGATGTTTCTAACTCTCTATCCCGCTCCCTTCTTCTCTGTAAAAAATCAATAGAATATATTTTTAAAAAGAAGAAGATAAATAAGAAGACTATGCAAGGAGAAAAGCATTCTGATTCTAGTGTATGTGGAAGGAATTCTAGGCATATGTGAAACTTTTGGTTGTTGCAAGATAAAGACAATCTAACTGGGCAATATGCTTCTGTAAGCATGAACAATACGGGAAGACTTTTCAGAAAGACTCTGAAAATGTCCTAATGTTCATTTTGTGATTTGCTTAAGGGGCAGATATCTCCCTTCTGAAATGCTCTCCCACATATGGAGCGAGTGAGGAAGACACTGATTAGTTCATAACCAAGGTCTAGTTTTATTTAGTTTACAATCTGTCCCACATTCTTGTAAGAAAAACACTTTTTATCAGAAAGTACTTCCACTGTATTATGGCCCTATACTGTGTAAGTCCAAACCATCTGAAGAACTAAGTTATTTCAGCTAGTTCTAAACAGATCCTAAATATCATTATTTGAAAACACTTTCAGGGATCCTTGAAAAAAATAATATTATTTAATACAATATAGTTATAATATGTATTAAAATGATCATCATTGTCTATTTATAATGTGTACTAGTGGCCCAGTGCATGAAATTTGTGCACGGGTGGTGGGTGTTGTCCCTCAGCCCGGCCTGCACCCTCTCCAATCTGGGACCCTGGGGGGATGTCCGACTGCCAGTAAACCGGTAGTCGGACATCCCTTGCAATCTGGGACTGGTAGCTCCTAACCACTCACCTGCCTGCCTGCCTGATTGCCCCTAACCACTCTGCCTGCTGACCTTCTCGCCCCCAACTGCTCCCTCTTGACAGCCTGATTGCCCCCAACTCCCCCCTCCCACCAGATCACCCAAGTCAGAAGAATGATTTTTACATAAATATTTTTTCAGACCATTAAAACCATAAAGTAGAAATAAAGAACTCATTCAGCCTGTGATGGGAAATAATTGTTATTCATCATTTCTTAAAACATATTTATATGCCCTTAACAAAAAAATCTTTAATGTGATCAACATTTGTAGAGATAAGGGAAAAATCCACTATTACTTACAGGGTAAGATTTTGTCAAAGTATAATGCCAATACCAAGTACCAAAAAGCATCAAAAGCCAACATGAAAAAAGTTGCTATCATTATATATGAATCTCCCGATGGGTCAGGAAAAGTTACACCATTCATGTTATAATCCATGTGGATAATCTAAGAATCAAACAAAAATAATAAATACTTAAATTAAATAAATAAAAATAATGCAGTGCAGTAGCAAGAATTATCACTTTATTGGGTAGCTCCTTGAAGAAGCCCATTAATGAAGTTATTAGGAAACTACTCCTATTTTATAGCAAAGGAACATTAGAAAATACTAATTTTAAAAAATACAGTGGATATTCATGCAGAAACATTAATATTACCTCTACCTAGAGATACACAAAAGTTATTTTGAAAAATACTTTACATCTAAATATAAAAGCAGAATCATTCAAGCTTCCAGAATAAAAAGTTAAAAGAATATCTTTATAATCTTGGGGTAGGCAATGATTTTTTTAAACAGGTACATACTCTATATAAAAGAAAAACTTGACAAATTGATTTTATCAGAATTAAGACCTGCTGTTCATAAAACAAAGGCACCACTATGAGAGTAAAAATGTCAGCAACAAATAATTGCAAAATTTCACATATTCAGCATATCTAAGGAATTCCTACAGAACATCAGGAATAGAAAATGTAGCAGAAAAATGGCGAAAAGACTTGAATCATCGATTTATAAAAATTGAGGAAAGCCCAGGTCCAGGGTGCCAGAGGGAAGCTCGTGCTGGCAGCCAGGGAAAGGAAGGCCTACTCTTGCATGAATTTTGTGCATCGGGCCTCTAGTATAGAAATAAGACAAGAAAAGACTTCAAAATGAAAATACATCTGAGATGTGAGCTGACCATTTTTTCCTACAATGTAATAACATTTTCAAATTTAGCTTTAGCAACTGTTTAGAACAAAAGCTCTTCATCTGAAAGTGTTGACTATACAGAGTCATGAAGTATCAAATTCTTCTGAAACTTTAATAATAAACCAATTAACTATCCTCTCACCTGGGCCATTCCAGCAGTGAAGGCAAAAGGGCTGAAAATACTCAAAATCCACTCCAAAGATGAAGGAAGTTGTCTATGCAATGCAGAGAGTCCCACACCGCCCCAGAAGAGAGTGAGGAGAAGCACAACAAAATTGGTGAGGGAAGTTTTCTTGAGCACCACGCTCATCAGGAATGTCAAAGCTATCTGAAAGAAAGAGAAGACAGGTAGCTATTATATAGAATCAGTTCATTGAGAAACATTGGTAGCACAATTTACTAAGGGTCATAACATCTTTATGAGTGAGTCAGTGATGAAAATATTAAAGTATAATTATGCTCAGGCCTTCTATCTTAATGCTTTTATAAATAGGATCCCTTTTTGTCCTCTTCAAATGTTGGGCTTTTGTTGCTGAGGCTAGGGTGGGGAGAATTGGGAAGAACTGCTCAGGGAAAGGGTGGAAATGCAGACTTGGAAAGATGGGAAGAAACTAAAAGTATCAAAGAGTGCCAACGTATCTTCTGCAGGAAACACTCTGGAAGGTGGGAGAAAATAGAGGTTGTTGTTCGAAGAAGGGAGAGGAGATTGACATGAGATATCATGGCAAGGTGGGGTATTAGAGCGGCGGTTCTCAACCTGTGGGGTCGCAACCCCTTTGGGAGTTGAACGACCCTTTCACAGGTCTGCATATCAGATATTTACATTACGATTCATAACAGTAGCAACATTACAGTTATGAAGTAGCAACGAAAATAATTTTATGGTTGGGTCACAACATGAGGAACTGTATTTAAAGGGCCAGAAGGTTCAGAACCACTGCATTAGAGGGAGAAGAGTTGCACAAAGCTACCACGTGATTAGGAAGTTTGGAGAAAAAAGATGGGTTCACTCCTCAAGTGCATCCTTGTTAATTGTCTATAAAAATCTTAGATAATTTAGTCAAAATTTTTTCTTTCTTTTCTTTTCTTTTTTTGTTGTTCCTCACCTGTGGATATTTTTTTCCTGTTGATCTATTTTTAGAGAGAGTGGGAGGGAGGGGGAAAGACACAGAGAGAGAAACATCAATGTGAGAGAGACACATCGATTGGTTGCCTCCCACATGCAGCCTGACCAGGGCCAGGGATTGAGCCTGCAACCAAGGTATGTGCCCTTGATCAGAATCCAATCGAGACCCTTCAGTCTGTGGGCCTATGCTCTAACCGCTGCGCCAAACCAGCTAGGACTATTTTTTTCTTTTTGATGCGTTTCATTAATTCAGATCTTTATGTAAAAGTGAGGTCCAACTTTATTTAGGTTACATCATTTCTCACAGTCAGAGGGACTTTCTCAAACACACGTACACACGAAATGCACATGAAAGAAATGGCTGCTGAGACAATTCTTGCTACATATAGACAGCTAAGACCGAAAGCAGAGAAAGTGGTCGTCATGGCAGGAACTTACCAAGGATAAGCCATATAAGAAAAACAGTATAAATATGACCATGAAGCCCGTCATGACTATAATTTTCCTGGATGTTATGATCATTGCGATGAATATGGAAATAATGAAGATGAAGCCAGCATAGATTAAACCCCAGGAGAGCCTAAAGACAAAAAGTTATTGCAATTATTTTAATTTTAGTATGAAATACTGGAAACATAAAATATCTAAAGAATAATGGCATGATTGCCCCTGTGCCTGCCACCTAGATTATTAATTAAAATATCACTAATAGCTGAGACCGGTTTGGCTCAGTGGATAGAGCGTCAGCCTGTGGACTGAAGGGTCCCGGGTTCGATTCCGGTCAGAGGCATGTACCTGGGTTGCGGGCACATCCCCAGTGGCAGATGTGCAGGAGGCGGCTGATCGATGTTTCTAACTCTCTCTCTATCTCTCTCCCTTCCTCTCTGTAAAAAATCAATAAAATATATTTAAAAATATATAAATCTAATAATACACTGGCATGGCTGTATCTACTGGGTAGGTGTTAGCTCTATATTCACATACTGTATAAATAGTATGAACATTGCAGAAATAGTATCTTGTATGGATTCCTCCACAACTTGCCTTTGCCAATCAACATATACAATAGTATACACTGCTGTATAATCTTTCATTAATGACTATATCCCGAAGTTCTCCTGCCCATAATTATTTTGGGTGTTTCTTTTCTTTTTTTTCTAATGCAATGTTTCTAAGAGCATTCTTCTACTTGTCTTTTTTTTTGGGGGGGGGGGGAATGCAAAAACATTTCTCTTAGGTAAAATTGCTGAATTAAAGGGGATAAGTATTTTGTATCTTCAGCTTAATTATATATTACCAACATGTTATAACTGCAGAATTGGAAGGAAACTTGACATTTGTCAATTAATTCAGTAACCATGGAAGGAAGCACTGGGGGCAGATGATAATTTGACCATTCTTGAGATCTTGGCCAGTAGCAAATTCCATAACCCCACTAAGCCCATTCCATTGTTGCCATGCCTATGCATAATTTATTTATATAAACTGATATAAATTACGGTATGCCTACAGCGGTTCTCAACCTGCGGGTCGCGACCCCTTTGGCAGGCGAACGACCCTTTCACAGGAGTCGCCTAAGACCATCCTGCATATCAGATATTTACATTACAATTCATAACAGTAGCAACATTACAGTTATGAAGCAGCAACGAAAATAATTTTATGGTTGGGTCACAACATGAAGAACTGTATTTAAAGGGCCAGAAGGTTGAGAACCACTGCCTTAAGAGTTAACACTGTTTGCTTTAGATATGCTAGTGATCATATTTTTATGAGGTGATTATTAAGAAATAGTATTCAACCTTTGACCTAACAAGCATATAGGGTGTTTTGGTCAAAACTTCTCTTTTTACAGCTGAGTAAACACAGTCCCTATTATTAGTTAATGGGCCTATTCAAGGTCAACAGAGTAAAACAGTTTAACAAAGCTAAGATGAAGCCAAGGGACTTTGCTCAGTCCAGAGCTCTTTCCTCTACATAAAATTGTCTAAGTAAGAAAGAATCCAAACAGCTCCAAATAACAGCAAAAATATTAAAACTGGGAACTTCCATCAATATGTTCCAGTAGACTATGTTTACTGCTTCTCTGACTTTTTTTGAGAAGTTCAAGAGTTATTTACTTTTTAATTGAAATTATTGGAGTAACATTATGGCTTATTTCACTTAGCATAATACTATCCAGGTCCATCCATGCTAGCACAAAGGATAAGAGTTCCTTCTTTTTCAGTCGAGTAGTATTCCATTGTGTAGATGTACCACAACTTTTTATCCACTCATCTACTGATGGGAACATGGGCTGCTTCCAAATCTTGGCTATTATAAATAGTGAACAGAGGGGTGCATATATTCTTTTGAATCTTTGTTTCGGGTTTCTTCAGATATATTCCCAGATGTAGAACTGCTAGATCATAAGGCAGTTCCAGTTTTAATTTTTGAGGTAACTCCATACTGCTTTTCACAGTGGCTGTACCAATCTATATTCTAGTCAACAGTGCATGAGGGAGGAAAACTAATGAGAAAATAAACAAATGGGACTATCAAAATAAAAAGCTTCTGCACAACAAAAGAAACCACCAACAAAATAACAAGAAAGCCCACTGCATGGGAGAACACATTTGCCAATGTTATCTCCGATAAGGATTTAATATCCAAAAATCATACAATTTAGCAAAAGGAAGATAAACAATCTAATCAAAACATGGGCTAAGGACCTAAATAGACACATTTTGAAAGAGGATATACAGAAGGCCAAGAGACATATGAAAACATGCTCAAAGTCACTAATCATCTGGGAGATGCAAATCAAAACAATGAGATACCATCTCACACCTGTCAGAATGGCTATCATCAACAAATCAACAAATGACAAGTGCTGGTGAGGATGCAGAGCACAATTTACAATAGCTAAGATTTGGAAACAGCCTAAGTGTCCATCAGCAGATGAGTGAATTAAAAATGGTGGTATATCTACACATGGAATACTATGCTGCTGTAAAAAAGAAGGCACTCTTACCATTTGCAACAGCATGGATGGACCTGGAGAGCATAATACTAAGCGAAAGTCAGAGAAAGAGATAAATATCACATGACCCCACTTATTTGTGGAATATAATGAACAACATAAACTGATGAACAAAAATAGAGCCAGAAAAAAAATATATTCTAGAATAGAGGTAATCCTATGATCTGCAGATTTTTAATATTTCCTACAACTTTTGTGGTATTATACTATTTTAGTAGTTTTGGTAATATTGTAATATTTAAAATATTTTTTCTTGAAATATTAATGTTAATTGCATGTAACATTATATTTAGTTTTTCTTGAAATATTAATGTTTATTGCATGTTACAATATTTAAAATTGTTTTTCTTGAGATAAAAAATAATAAAATCTCTCTTAAAAAAAAGACAACAGTGCATGAGGGTTCCCGTTTCTCTACATCCTCACCAACACTTGTTGTTTGTTGATTTATTGATGGCAGCCATTCTGACAGGTATGAGAAGATATCTCATTGTGGTTTTAATCTGCATTTTTCTGATGATCAGTGATGTTGAGCATATTTTCATATGTCTATTGTCCATCTGTATATCCTATTTGGATCCTTTGCCCATTTATTAATTGGACTGTTTGTCTTATTTTTTTTGTTTGTTTTTTGGTGTTGAGTTGTATAAGTTCTTTATTTCTTTATAAATTTTGGACTTTAACCCTTTACCAGATGTATCTTTGGTGAATATGTTCTCCCATTCAGTGGGCTGCCCTTTCATTTAGTTGATGGTTTCTTTTGATGTGCAAAAGCTTTTAAGTTCCATGTAGTTGCATTTGTTTATTTTTTCTTTTGTTTCCCTTGGCCAATGAGGTATGTCAGAAAAAACGTTGCTATGAGACTTTTTAAATTTCATGTCTTTACAATGATTCAGCCTGACTGGAAACATCAGCATTTTTTAAAAAGCATAATATGTTCTGCAGAATCCACTTCCTGAGAACATAAGGAACTATAATAGGTAGGAATTGAAAAACCACAGGGTAGGGGAATTACAAGTACAGGGAACTCAAACATTATCTAGAACAAGGAAGTCATTGCAGAGTTGGGGGTAGGGGGTGAGAGAGATGTTATTAAAGTCAATAAAAACTTCACCATGAAAACAAAACAACTCAGACATCACATTTAACTCATATGTGGAATCTAAAGAACAAAATAAACTGATGAACAAAATAGATCCAGAAGCATAGAAACATGGAACAGATTACCCATCTCAGAGGAAAGGCAAGGGTGGGTGAGTGAGTGGAAAGAGATTAACCAAAAAATTTGTATACATATATGCCTAATCCATGGACACAGACAACAGTATGGTGAAGGCCTGGGGCGGGGGGTAGGTGTGGGATAGAAGGGGTCAATGAGGAGAATAAGGAAGCATCTATAATACTTTCAACAATAAAGACAATTTTTTTAAAAAAGAATAAATTCTGATTGCATTTCACATTCATTACGTAAGTTTTTAAAAGCTGTCATAAAATTTATTTGCAACAGACATCCTATACTTAATGAAAAGTTTCAGAATCTATTGCCTTCTTAGTTTTAAGTTACATGCATACTGGGAATCCTTTTAAGAAGCATTTATCCTGAGAATGAATCCACATCTAAATATCCAATGCCTTTCTGATGCTCACCTAAAGTTGACTTGGTCCTACCTATTTCAGGTGACTGCAGAGGTGCTGTTCCACAAGACATGCCCTGGACTGAAAGAGCGTCTTTTCATACAGAGCTCCTGTCTTTTCCCTCCTCACAGACTCCATCTATTCCTTTGTATTTCCCAAAGTTCCACTACAAAATATTCTTCTCCTCTTTCCTTTTTATTGAAAGACCCAGTTTTCTCTTTTTCTATTTCACATGTCATATTACATATCAGAGTCAAAACTCTGTTAATAAAACACAATGCATAGGAAATGTAAAATTTCCTAGACCATACTTTTATTTCAGAGGACATGTGGCTTGCAAAAGATTGTTCAATAGTTCCTCATCTATCCCATATAGTTTCACATTCCTAAGCAGTATCTTCTGGACACGAGGATTATACAGAGCATGTCTCCCAGGTTTCAATACTGAAAAACATCAGGGGTCTTTGGGGGTAAAATTAATTGACCTTTTTTTCTTTTCCAAGAGACTATGGACTTTATAACTGATTGCACTGCAGAATTCTCTGCTTGGACTCTCAGCAATTAGAGTTTGTATGATTTGAATTTTCATCTATCAAATCTTACCTATTATTTTGATAGGTCTTTGCTTCTATTCCTCAATTATTTGTTTTTATTTTATTTATTATTATTATTATTATTTTTAATCCTCACCCAAGGAAATGTTTATTGATTTCAGAGAGAGAGGAAAGGGGAGAGAAAGGGAGAAACATCAATCAGTTGCCTCCCATATGCGCCCTGACAGGGGATCGACTGCAACCCAGGTGTGTGTCCTGACCAGGAAATGAACCTGCCACCTACCTTTTGGTGTACAGGACGACGCTCCAACCAACCAAAGCCACCCAGCCAGGGCTGTTCTTATTTTAATACAAACACGCACACAGAGATACATACACACTTGTATTTCAAAATTTCATAATCACTTTAAACTATTCATGGCATAGGGCAAGATATAAATATATCAATATATGAAGAAAATACTCTTATTAAGCCCTGCTATGTGTCAGCCTATGGGCTGTGTGTGTTGGGAACATTCTATAGGCTATCTCTTTTAATCCCAACATATGATATTTAGTTGCTCAAAAAAATATTCCTAATGGCCCAACCTCTGAACACAAGCTAGCCTTTATTAGGTTATACTTTTTCAACACAAGGAACTGTAAAGAAATCAAATGACAACGGTGGGCAGACCTAGCCAGAGAGTTGTAATAAGGGAACCTGGGTTGTAGTCCCAGCTCTGGCAATCACTGGCCAGTGGACACTGGGCTGCTCTTACTCTCTTTGATGAGTGTAACAGTGTTAGCTTAACATACTCTGGCACAGAAAAAGTGCTCAGCAAATTAGAATAACTGTTTTGCATGGCAAAATTTAACAAAGACTAAATAAAAAAGTCAGAACAGAAGGAAAATGGCCAAAGTATCGAGTTTAGATCATGATGTCTTGAAATAGTAACATTTTCTCACTGCTTCTTCATGTCTCTTACTCAACTGTGCTGTTTGAATCTGTCACTCACCAGAATGCTGAATCTTGTAGACCCATCATTTTCATCAAATCCTTACTCTTTTTTCTCTCTTTGGTAACACCGAATGATGCGAAATATATAAACGAGGAGAAGTAAAGCAAGCATTGGAAAATAAATATCTCATTTTGAAGGAAGTCTTTAGCAATAAAAGGTAATGCCTTCATATTTGTAGCAGTGACTGACATCAGCTCTTCCATCACAGAGTGACCTGTCAGGATCTTAAAAAAAAAAAGTTTAAAGAAACAAAATCACTTTTTAAAGTCAAGAATCGAGAAATCAATAAGCTATGGGGATTGTACCAATGTCAATTTCCTGGTTTTAATACTGTCCCATGGGAATGTAAGACATTACCAGTTGGGGAAACTGAGCGAAGGACACGCAGACCTCCCTGGACATTGTTTTTGCAACTTCCACTCATTCCATAACTACCGGAAATTTTAAAGTAAAAAAACAAAAGCAATGTGGTCCTTTGCCTAAATCCCATTTCACCCTACATATACCTGCTTCCTTATATAACTGTGTGGAAACCTGAGTGTGTATCACCTTTCATCAGCATTTTGATGCTTCTGGCATTAATTTGCATTATTTATTAGAACTTTTCTTACTTCTATAATAGCAGCATTAATCGCAGCTTGTAAAGCCACAAATCCTGAACTCCAGTATTTGGTCAGTGAACATGATGACTCATTTCCTGAATTCCAGCAATGAACTGTAAAGCATAAAGAAGGGCAGAATCATTATTACGGGATGAAGGCACTTTGAGAACAAGAAACAAGAATCTAAGAGAAAACAATCTAGAAGGGGCTCCACCAGTCAGAATCTTCAACTACAAAGAAATATAAAAATAAAAGAAGCAAATTAAAGTTCTCAATGAGGCAAGTTTATTCATGGAGACCACAGCTTGCACAGGGAGCTTAGAAAAAGAAGATGAAAGCTTCAACCATACTGGAACCCTTGCTGTGCCTGGAAACACCAAATGCACTCCAGGGCTAGAACTTCTTTTGTGCTCAAACACTCTCACTCTAGGAATTCATGGCGCACTCCTTCCCTCCATCCTGCCCTCTTCTCAAAAGTAAACTCATTATAGACATCTTTCCTGGCCACCATAAGTAATATCTAAAATAGCTCTTTCAGGCTCTATCTTCTAAGCCTGCTTTATCTTACTCTATTGCTTTATCGCCACCTGACTGTAATGATCCGTGCTAGCAGACTTATCTAAGTATGTTTTCTTCACTTCAATCTTCAAGGACAAGAAAAATGCGAAACACATAGTAGACCATCAGTGAAGGGATGGAAAAAAAACCAATTCTATTAGTCACTTCAATTCTGTTTCTTTTTTTAAATTTTATTTTAAAATATTTTTATTGATTTTTTTACAGAGAGGAAGGGAGAGGGATAGAGAGTTAGACACATTGATGAGAAAGAAACATCGATCAGCTGCCTCCTGCACACCCCCTATTGGAGATGTGCCCGCAACCAAGGTACATGCCCTTGACCGGAATCAAACCTGGGACCCTTCAGTCCACAGGCCGATGCTGTATCCACTGAGCCAAACTGGTCAGGGCCAATTCTGCTTCTTAAGAGGTCCTCAAATATCTTCCTCTTTCTAAGCTGCCTCCACTCTGTCTAAGCCACCATCAGCTCACCGGTACGTTATATTGCATTCTCCCTAACTCCTCTGCAATCATCCTCAAGGCTATATCCACACTGTTACCTTAGACTCGGAAGTCTAATCACGCTTCTGCCCTGATTACTGTACCTGGGTGGCTCTCCATTGCCCTGGGATTAAAGGACCCTACAGGATCTAGACTTTGAGTAATTTCAGCCTTATTCTCCCATCACATTCCTCCTTGTCTTCTCTATTCAGTTATACTGCTTTTCTTCTGTATATATTAGCTGATGTCCTTCAATTCTGGGCCTTCACACTTGCCCTTTTTCTATCTAAAAAAAACAATGCCCCTAGCACTGCATAAGTGCGATTCCTTCTGATGTTTGTTAAAACATCATTTCCCCACATATGACTTCTCTAATCCCAAGCATATTAGAAACCCTTGGTCCAAATCCCTCCAAGGACTTTCCCTTGCACTTACTATTAATGTATCTGAATATGTCTGTTCTGCTAGATTGGGACCAATCACTCTTGGTCACCCTCTGCATCCTTGCAGTATCCACCTGAGAGCTCACTATATACAGATGTTGGGTGACTCTATAATCTTTTGTGCATTATCCTACAGTGGGATAATATGATTGACCTTGGGAGAAGGTTAGCAATAACATGTGCTTTTGAATGTTCTCATACGCCATTGAAAGCATCTGTGTTGACCATGCCAACCTGTTCCTTATGCAAAAAACATGAAAAACATCATAATGATATTTTATAGGGAAAATCACCTGAGAAATGTTCTTCCTTCAAAAATGGAATGCCATACATATGAAAAAATGCTAACTTATAAGAGAAAGTATCACTAAAGGTGATTCCCACTGCATTTGGGAAATGGTTCTCAAGTAGTTCATCCATAGATTTTTTATTTGGTGCTCCAAGGACTGTTGTTTCTGTGAATTACAAAGCAAAAACAGATAAGACTGTTAAAATTTTACTAAAACAGAATGTGATATCCAATTGTATCATCCTATATTTTCCATTAGAATTAAAATAAAATCTTTTTCCGTTTACATAAAACTTATGCCAAGAGGCAAGAGGGGATTTTTTTATTTTAATGTTTTAGATTCTAGAATCAGGAGACATGCATGAGAAATAATGATAAGTCTTAGGGCAAGTTTTAGGTACATAAAAGATTATACCAGGATAAGTATGCATAAGAAAGGATAATTGGTATGCATACGAAATCAGAGTTACTGAAGCAAAGACATCTCTCCTATGATATTTGCTTTACTTAGGAACCAAGAGCACAAAGTGACTCTATATCTAATAGCTAGGAGTTTTACCTGTTAAAAATTAAGGGTTAAAAATCAGGTACCCAGCTCACCCATGAGTGAAATACACATTGTGCTTACCTCAGTTATATAGCAACCTCATGTAGAATGAAGGCCTTAAAAGATGCTTACCAAAAAAACACCTGATACAGATTATCTTTAGACCATCCATTCTTACTTATCATAGTTTTAAAATTATTGTTTAGTAACTATGGCCTAACTTATTTTAGATGATTATTTTTCCTAAGTTACATAAATCTTAATCATTGTATTCCTGCTTAACACCCGCATACTCTTCCTTGACACTATTCTGTAAATCTGGAATGACAAATGTATTGCTTTAGTTAAATTCCATTAGAAATGAGGCCTCCCTAAACTGGACCCCCATCAAGCCGAAAAAGGGTTTAATAGGTTAATTGTTGTTAAAGAAAAAACTAACCAAATTTATATACTATTTTAATACCTAAATAATTAGCTTAATGGGTCACTGTAACTTCAAATTTAACATATACACATCTTTCCCAAAATTTAAAATATCAGTAATTTCTTTGTCTTGAGTATACTTACCTTTCAAAAAGGGAGCAGATACTGTTTTATTCATTATCTGCTTGGTTATATTGGAGACCGGTGTATACACAGCAAACATGAGAGAGTTATTATATTTGTCTACCCTTCCCAGGTTCTGAGAAGGCTTTCCAGGAAACTGGGTATTTTCTTTTGTATACGACAATAAGCCCATATATAGTCCTAGAAGTACTGGAAATCCCCATTCCTATAACACAGAGGGAACAAAAACAAATTTATGTTATATTCCCTTAAAGAGCTCAATTGACACCAAACAACTAAAGACAAATTCCAATGTTTCCAAAAGAAGCATTGGCTTCTTTTGCTCTCCGTCAGAACAAAAGGAACCCAATGAAAGACACATACTGATCAATGTGCAGATGATGTTTTGTTGAGTTGTACACTTGAAACCTGTATGGTGTTGTGAATCAATGTCACCCCAATAAATTCAATTAAAAAAAAAAGACACATCCTGAGAAAGTTGCCACAGATATCATTCTCCACTAATACAACTACACCTTTTCTCTAAATCATGAACCAATGGAGAGCGTAAGATAAAAGGATGATGATCTCTGTGTGTGTGGGCATCTGATTCTAAACTCTATGAGACAGATTATCTCAGGTAAGTTTAAGGTGGCAAAGAGCAATATCCTTGTCAGTTGTCAAGGAAATCAAAGAAAATGAAAAGGAACTGAGTGGTAGAGACTGTCTAGTGTTTCACACTATCAGTAATCTCGTCCCGCTTGGCACAATGCTAGACTATATTTCCAGCCTCTCAAAATCAAGTGGGACCAAGAGAGTCAGGTACAGCCCATGGAATGTGGGCAGCAGTGATACAGGCCACTTCCAGGCCTGGGTCGTGGAACACAACCTAGGTCCTTCTATTCCTGATCTATGCCGGATCCAGGGAAGGTCTCCAAGGACCAAGGACATGGCAGAGTCCCTGGATGAAGAAGCCTGGGTTCCTAAATGACTGTGTGGAGAAGATTCCTTCACCCACCCAACCCACTTCACTTTCCTGCCAACCTTATTTAGGCTGTAAAAAGAGTGAAGCCGCTGCGGTTTGGGGCTGCTACCTGTAGACAGCCCACCTACCTAATTCAAACTGACAATCAATGATGTTCCTTGGTCATAATTCTTAGAAATAGTCTCTATGTAGATGATTCATGGCCTTGAAAATAAATCCAAAAATTAAAATTCTTTCATTTCTGCCAGGCACTACTTTTATTCTTTCTTGATTCTAAATGTATTACATGCAAATTATAGTAGCTTTAATAGTTGTTGCAATTTATCATATAATTAAATTTCACTTGATCTCATTTTTTTTTTTAAAAATGAGTAAATACTTTGTTTTTACAATTTTACATTATTTTTCTGGAGTGCTAGGAGTCTCGCAATTCAACAAATACAACGAGGGACAACTTCAAAATCAATACATCCAGGCTGTTACTTAAAATATAAAATGAGAATCGTTAAGCAATGAAATACAATAATGTTAGACTGTAGAAAGAAAACTTTCATACATACCAGTAAGCTCTCTCTTTTCATCCTCCACTTCTTAAGAAAATTTTTGCACAGAAGTGCTTGAGTTTGTTGATACACATTTTTCTTTTTCCTGTTCATTTAGCCTATCATTTAAGTGAACAAGGAGAAAGTAAACATTGTGGAGCATAAACTAGAAAAAAAGTGTAATAAGAAAACCCTTGATCATATGGGGGTGAGGAATATTTCCTACCTTTAAGAACTGAAAACAAAAGGATTTAAAATATTTGAATAACTCATGATTATAAAATTATACATCAAATATACGCACTATAAGTTATTTGGTGGGGAAGTAAAATGATTATTGTCACAACTTTACAATAATGAAGTATTACAATGGAAAAGACATCATTAGATACCAGAACCTATAAGATACTTCACATTTTTGACCTTTCATAATGGAAATTCAACTATATGAATAGCATATCGGAACTGTATCTTATATGACTAATAATTTTTTATTCTTTGCATTTAAATAGAAACTCCAATATTTACATCAAATTAACATCAAACTTCTGATTAAATTCATCTGAATAATTATGTCCATGAGATGTAACCTCAATGAAATATTTTCTTGTGGCATTTACCTTCCAGACAGACTTGAACTACTTTTTATCAAAAGAGGCCATATGATAATAATCTAGAGTCTAGACTCAAACTACTTGACACTTGATTTTTCATACACAGGAAGAATGAAATAATTTATCTCAATTTTCTGAATTCTGAAGTCCCTGAATAACTGAGGAAACAAACTACAAAGTATGTTTTGGAAAAAAAAAAGAAAAGAAAAAAATCACATGGGAAAGTAAGTTTGCCCAAATGTTTGTAAGTAAACCAAGAGATAATTTTTTTCAGTTTTTGAAATCTCAAAATTTTAGATTTGCATATTAAAATATTCAGACAATTCTCTCTCCTCTAGCATAGAAGCAAATTCTTACTATTTTCCTTTATTCTACTCTTGTGTCTATATAATAAACTTGGTTGGGAAAAAAATAGAAAAATTTTATCATAAATCACATATTTAGAAAAACATCTGAAAAATAGATTTTATTTTTTCTTTATTGATTAAATTACATATGTGTCCTTATCCCCCCCATTGTCTCTACCCCCCGCTCATTCCTTCACCCCCACTCTCCCCCCTCGTTGTCGTGTCCACCTACATATTTGACATAACACCACAAAACAGAGCTCTACTTACTGAAAAATCAGAAGTACTCTTGAAAACACTCTCAAAGCACTGGTCTCTTTTTGTCTGAGGCAATGATTAAAAATTTTTGATCGCCACTTCTTCATTTATTCCTTAAATGGGTACCCACTCCCAACAGTTCTTCCTTAACTCAGGCTCGTTTCTGAAAAGGGGTGTAGTCAGACTAAGTTGCACATCATGAACTTGTTTTCTTTTCTTCCTTACGCCAATTATTCTGCACGGAAATGACCGTTCTGTGGTTGGTTGAGAATAAAACAAACCCTGTTTTTGTGCACTTGGCCTTTCAACTCCAGGGCTCTGGGGGACAATGGTAAACAAATGCAGGGAGTCCTTCAGACTTGATGAATAAAGATGGGGGGCGGGGGAGAACCATGACTGAGTAAAATCAATAACTAAGCAAAGTAAATTTGTATAAGGGATCTTTAGCTATTTTTTTTCCCACTCCTAATGCCTAAACACAACTGCCAATGATATATTTGACTATCTTAGATAAAATATGCACAATGTGCTGGCGTCGAATTTCTTTTGCCTAAGAAAGCTAAGCTATCCATAGTTTGCCATGGAGAAACACTTAAGCTAGACAAATGAGTAATAAATGAAGTCCTTTTCCCGCCTCGATTCATAGTGAATGCCGAATTTCATAAGGCAATAGAACATAATAAAAAAGTGGATTTCTAGGGACTAAAAAACATAGAAGAATAAAAAAAAAGATTTGAGTCAATTTTTATGCATGACAACCAGGCAAAAAACTTGAAATTTGTTCAACTGTTACTGCATAGTTTATCTCTCCCTGTAAAGAGTTGCAAACTTTTCTTGACCCAGCAAAGTAAATGACAAAACAGGAAACCAAAGTCCATGAATTGGGAAATCTCAAATATTGGACATGGCTCCTGATCCACAGATGTTAATAATCATAAAACTGAGAGATGATCTGGAGAACAGGTGGATCATTTTAGTTCTACTTTTACAAATAATCAACAGTGAAATATTACATGTCATTTATATTTAAACTTGGAAAAAAACAAAGGCAACAAAAATGTTCTAAAGTTCTCATAGGTGGGGGCAGAGGAGCAGGTCATAGATACTATTAAAACTTTATATCAGTAATAGGTCAAGGGTCCAAACAAAAATTCTAAGTTTGTTTTAAATCACCTGAAATATATTTCAAGTTTTTATTCATTTTGTTATTGTTTTAGACCCTATGTACTCTATTTTAAAAATCATTTTCTCATCCTGCCTTTCTCATAAATGTCTTAAAATTCACAACTACAATGTCAATAATTATTTAGATTACTAATAAGTATTTTGCTAGTTTCACTTTTTATCATTGATTTTTTTGTGTATTCTTTGTGCTCCTCTTTCTTGACTTAGTTACTGTAATTTATTTTTATTTGGGGGCCCTTTTCCATGACTTCCCCATAAATTTGACCTAATTTGTTAAAGAAGTGTCCAACCTCCAGCTAGAAGGACATGGAAGTGGTGGGTAACATATATCCAAAATAGATGTTCAGACATATAACCAAAACCTAAAAGAAGAAAAAGATAAAGAGAAGAAAATAAGAATCAACAAAAGATACAATGAGAAATAAAAAAACACACACATACATTCTCGGGTGTAAAAGGGGCGAAGGGAAATTAAAGCTGGAACTGTGAGCATGTTAGAAATCCAGCAGTCCAAAGAGGTGTTTTCATACCCTTGTGACCTGAAGGTGGTGCCTGGCAGGTTCTGAGGTTGGCCTCCTGTCTCCACATGAATCCAGAAGCTTCACAAGACTGTTCAGCATTAGAAATAGAGACTAGAAAGACTTCACCTACTACTCCAATGGAAAGTAAGGAAGTATTATTTGCCAATCTCTAGATTAAAAAGAGAGCATCCTCCATAGCAAATGAAAACCCATGCATATGTAGCACATGTCAGATACAGGACCCAGAAGCAGGAGCTGAATTTATTCTCCCTGCATAGCAGCATGTTTAAGAACAATATCGTAGCAGTTAGTGCATGTACTTGGGTTCAAATTCTGGCTATGCCATAGTTGTGTGTCCTTGTATCATCTATTTAACTTTTCTTCCTCTGTTTTTCATCCAAACAGCCCAGCCAACATGCCTCAGTGGTTGAACTAGACCTATGAACTAGGAGGCCACGGTTCAATTCCTAGTCAGTGCATATATGTCTGGATTGCAGGCTTGATCCCCGTGGAAGTGTACAGGAGGCAGCCGATCAATGATTCTCTCTCATCATTGATGTTTTTATCTCTCTCTCCTTCTCCCTTCCTCTCCTAAAATCAATAAAAATGTATTTTAAAAAACAGTGATAACTGTATATATGTATGGTTACTTGGAGGATTAAGTTCATTAATATAAGTTAATAGAACAGTGCCTGGAACATTGCAAAAGCTCAAAAAATAAAACACATCACAACCACATTACTTGTTGCCAAAATGCCTCTTCCTCCTCCTTTTCCTCTTACTACCACTATTATACCGAAACTCCACAGAGAAGACAAAAGATATCTATAAAGATACGTCAAGAATACAAGGCACACAGATATAGCAGCTAAGCTCATAATCAAAAGTTAACTATGAAAGATAATCAGCAAAAACAATGGGGCTATTAGCAACCTCAAAAATTAAATAATAAATATTATGCCAAAGACTATAAAATATATAAAGTATTAAAGAAGAAAAACAGGAGACAATGAAAAGAAAAAGTAATAGGAAAATAACCCATTAGAATTTATAGGAATTTAACAAAGGATTAAAAAATTAAGCTTAAAAACTTAGTAGATAAGTTTTATAGATTAGACACAGCTGAAAAGAATATTAATAAACCATAAATATATCTGAAGAAATCATAAAATTTAATGCAAAGCAAGAATAAAATGGAAAAATATTTGAGATGTTAAAGGATATGATAGAATGAGGTTGTCCAGAATATGTCTAATAGGTATTTTTAAATGAGGAAAATAAATAATAAGTAAAAAGAATGCTCAAGGATAAAATGTATAAAAATCTTCCAGAACTGAATTTTAATTCCAAAGGGTCTGGGTATCACTGACCTTGTCTTTTTTACCTTTTTCACCCATTTGCCATTCTAACAATTTTAAGTGTACAAGTCAGTGACATTAATGACATTCACAATATTACACAACCATCATCACTATCTAGTTCCAAAACTTCATTACAGGAAACTTTGTAAGCATTAAACAATCACTTCCCCATTTACCCCCTCCCCACCCCGCCCCCAAACCCCCCAGCCCTTCTTCTCCTTCTTCTTGCTCCTGGCAAGTACTCAACCACTTTCCATCTCCATGAATTTGCCAATTCTAGACATTTCATAGGAGTGCTCATATTAATACAATATGCATGCCTAGTTTATGTCAAGAAAACTTTAGGTTATATTTCACCAGTTTAAAAAAATCAAATGGATTGAGACATTGAAAATTCTGGGCCATGAGAATGGCCACTCATTTTACTTGCAACTGTATGTTTTACCTAATTTGTTAGCTCTTTTCATGGCACGTGCTTCTGTATTCATCCCCTCAGGATTTCGCACTGTTCTGCCTCAAACACTGCATGTTGCACAGATTTATCAGTAAACAACTGCCTGTGCCCTCTGCCTCCACCAACCTACCGTCTCACTGCTGCTTCTGACTTGTCTTTCAGGTTGGCTTCTCTGCCAGTTGCTCTATCGTCTTTATCCATGCATTTCCCGAAGGATGCTTAAGCTGTTTTCACTCCTTGGCTATCATGAGTAATGCTGCAATGAACATGGGCATGCAGGTATCTTTTCACTATCCTGCTTTCAATTTCTTTGGTGATATACCCTGTAATGGAATTGCTGGAACATATGGTAGTTCTGTTTTTAATTTTCTGAGGACTCTCCATAC